TAATCCTGCAGCCTTGTCCTTTGTTTTCATTTATTTTGTTAGCTTAGGGGGCCTGTGTTGTGGTTAGGCTTAGGGTCTGGCTGGCTTAGGCCCTAGCTTTCACTGAAGGGCGCAAGAAAATGATGTGTTAAAATGTTGTTCCTAATGTCCTTTCACCGGACTTGAATTGGGCATCCTAATTTTAAGGATTTCTGAAGGAGGCAAGACATGGGAACTGTTCAAAACATGATTGTTTGTTTATTGTACTAGATTGCATTGCCAGCTGACAGGGCTAACAAGGTCCCTTTCTGCATCTTTCTAAAATGACATCTGGATGATAGGACTTCTTAATCTGCAACACCGAGTATAAGTGAGTATGAGGGATAGTGAAGAGGAATAAGGAGCAATGGCATGCATTAAGGCCATATCTCAGTGGGAAGGGATATGGACATGCAACGCCATCTGAAAGTTCCCACAGCCTGGGGAGCTTGGAGCTACTGCCAGTCCCAGCATCCACAGCAGGAGTAAGGGCATGCCTGGGGCTCAGGGCACCCTGAAAGCTGCAGCTGCCCGTAGGTTCTCTGCCCCTTTGGGATTACTGCAGGGTGGTGTGAGTGTTACACCATTATGATACTTTAGGGCATCTCAACAGGGACTTCGGCTACTGAGAGAATCCACTCCTGAGCTGCTAAAATGGACCTCAGGCTTAGCAGAGGATTGCGGCCATTCTGTCTTTTGGAACACAGTGGAAGTTTGTTTCCTGCATAATTACAGTGAAAATTTAGTCTTTTCAAGTTAGATAGAGAGCTGTATGTTACCAGAGTATACTGCAGCATAAGGAAACTACTCATGAGAGTCTGTCTTGCAAATAACATTTACATTTTTGCTAATTAGAAAGAATCGAGCTTTTGTCTAGCTGTACAGATATGGTTTGATGTTTTTAAAGGAAAGGAATTCCAGAAGGACTGTTTCATCAGCAGGGTGAATTAACAAAGAAAAAGAAAGAAAAAAAAAAAAAAAGAAAAGAAAGAAAAGTGAATGTTCCCTCAGACACATTTTCCAGTTCAGATGTCTGAAATACATTTGATCTTCAGCTACGTTTTCTCCTCACAGATCCTAGTGTTTTTTATTAGGACGAGTTTCATTTTATTGCCTTGTTTTCCTGTAAAGCCAACAAGTAAAAACAACAGGATTTAATTTTGGATTGGCAGGCCAGCTGGAGGATAATACATGGAGTGCCCCCCTTTTATCTTTCTCTTTTCCTTCCTCCTCCCGCTTCCCCCTCTCCTTGAGGTGCTCCGCTTCGCCACCGTGCTGCTCAACTTACTGGCCAAAAAATCTTTGCAGGTGATTTATAGAAGCCTATGGTTATTGTATGGCTAATGATTCATGGAACTTCATTAAATACCAAGTATGTGCCTGCTTACTGTCTGTGCACACTGCATATTAGAACCTTTGCACTCCCCCTTGCAAATTGCCCCCATTAAAGTCGCAGACAAAAGGTCCTCTCAGTAGCTTACATATTTTCCCACATGTGAGAGAGCAATTGGAAACTTCCTCTTGATAACTAAAAACTTTTGAATTAGAATTTATGAGAAGGGTCTTTTGGTCTCATTGCCTAGGGGCTGAAACAGATCCCAGTGTGTACAAGCGTTCCTTTGATGCATGGAGCTGCACAGGGTAACATTTTTTAACAGGATCAAAAAGCGTAATGCAGGGACAATGTGCGGAGGCCCTTACCCTGACACAAGGAGTCGGAGTCTGTGTTTTTCCAAGGCTAAAAAAGTAAAAGTATGTGTCCAGGGTAGCAACAGCATTTTATATTCTTTTTAATTGCAGTAAAGTCCAAGATTAAATAATGGCAGTCAGTGTTACAACTTCCTTTTCTTTGATGTTCCTCTAAAAATGCTTTGTAGCTGCTTTTACCTTTGGGAAAGTATTGTATATGTGTTAGAGGAAAATATATCAAAAAGAAAATAAAGGGCCAGATCTTTAATTGGTAGAAATCAGCATGACTCTATTACGGGGATTGGAATTTCTCAAGCTGTGGACACGGCTAAAAACATTCTGTCATTTCTCACCGTGTGCTAATATATTCCTGCCCACTTAAGTTACTCAGTAGGACTATCCTGTTCTGAGTTTACCATTGACGAATCATTTTTCAATAGCACTTCTTTAGAAAGGCAGCAAAACTCTTAAATATAGGTCTAATGTTCAAATCGTAAGTATTTCCTTTGCTTTTAGCTGTGTTATTCAAGAGCTTAAAGAGAGACACAGGCATATGTACTGGTTGATCTGAAATCTTGATAATCAGAATTTTTGTCACCCAACAGTAAAAGGGAATGATTCGGCGCTGATTCAGGTGCCCTATGTAGTCTTTCATTATATCTCATTCACACTGTGTGTGTCTATATACAAAGAGGAATGAAAAAAAGGAACAGCTTCTTTTTATAGAGCCAAAAGATCACAGATATTATTATAAAATTAACCATACCACATCAACCTGTTGGTTGCATATTGGGATGGACGTTTTCTATCTTTGCACCAGCGATATTTGTTAAATTTGTTATGATAATCAAGTCGTTAGCTAACGGGATGTTTTCATTAGCCAAAATCAGAATACTTAAACTGTCTTTAGTGCAGTAGCCTAATTTACTAATTCTGCGGCCAATGAATCAGGTTTCTCTCCCTTTGCTCCATTTGTAGGTCTCCTGAATGAGGAGAAAGATATAAGCCTGTATTACTTTTGCAGTCATTTAACAGCTAAGTGAACTTTCATAAATGAATATAAGTCTGGTTTAGTTGCAAAATTTCTTCTTCTCCAATAAAATACTGCCAGAGTGTTGGAACCTCCGTGGTGATCTTTTGAGAGCATGGTATGCGGAACACAAAGAGCTCTGAGAAAGTGATATCTGAAAGACCAGAATAACCTCACACATACATCAGAAAATGAAATGGAAGTGGGGAGCAGTGAGAAATTTCCTGGATATGGAGGGTCTCTTGATCTGCTTGTATGGTGCCAGCATGATGGGCTCTTTGTCTAATTCAGGATTGACTGCTTTACTCATGTTTGTTTATTATTAATGTCTGTAATTAACAACATCTGCTTGATGCCATCAGATATCATCAGCTTTCTCAGAAGGCGTATTTCACTAATTTGGCCCTAACTTCATCTCATTCTGAATGTATTAAATTGCAACTCCAACATATTAGGGCTGCTAAACTGAGGGGGAAAAGATCCCTAAATTCTTTTCTTTCTCCACAGGAGAACACAAGAGATAAAGAGAGTAATATGTCTAACATTAAAGAAATAGGAGAGATGGTAAATTCTGTATTTCATTCTGTATTCTCAATAGGAATTTGGAATATATACCTCAACAAAGGCTTGGCCATACATTTGTGTTTGTTGCAAGGCATTCCTTTTCCTCCAGCTGAGCAGCACATAAAGCATTGGCTTTTTTGTAGTCACCACTTTCAAGAAGTGAAGTGCCCCAGATTAAAAATTCCATGGCATTGTGAAATAGCTTGAAAGTTTCAAATTCAGATCTTGAGTTTTTTGTGTTCCACCCATCCTCAGCAACGATCCTCTGCATTCAGCAGCGGAGATGTAGAAACGTCTGACTGTTGTATCAGGAAAATAAGAAAAGATTTGTACAATAGTAGGCAAAAAAAGAGGAGCTTTATTGAGGGCGGGTAAACACAATAAATTTGTATACTTGACAGCATGGAATAATGGTGACAATTACTGTTCAAGTAAGCAGAGATTTCTCTGATTCAGAGAAGCATTGGCAGGTGGCAGTTGGCTGTGTGCTGAGACTTCTTGTGCTGCAGCTCTAACTTCGGCAACGAGGTTTCACAATTCTCTCTGGGAAAGCAACATTGGGAAATGCAGGCGATTTTGAAAGTTTGGTCAGTTTGGGTGACATTCGGCATCATCTTTTTTTGCCTTCTGGTGAAATTTCATCTACTTTCCTTACTTACTTGGCAATAACTAAGAACACTGTATGGTTTTTAATTGCAATATGGGAAGCTCTGTGAGGATGACTTAAGGGCAAAACAGCTGCACCCAGTCTGTTCTTCCTCCTCTTCCTGAATTTAAATAAAATCTGGTCTTATCTGAATATGCACCCAGAAGACTGGATGGTTATTTAAGCCTCAGTTAGGGAACATATTTAAGAATATGCCTAATTTTAAGCATGCGCTTAAATCAATGGGACTTAAGCAAATGCTTGAAGTCAGGCATGTGGTTGAGGTGTTATCCTGAATGTGGGTCCTAATCCTTAAACAATAGCAAAGCCCAGAGGAAAGGGCAAGCTATCTGGGATCTGTTCTGGGCTCTTTTGTTGGTCGTGTTATAGTCTATAAAATAAGGATCATTATTCTTATCCCTCTTTGTGAGGCACATTGAAAATTATCGGGGAAAAGCACTCTGAATACTGTTATTATTGGCTATCCTTCTTGAGACTGAAAAAAATTTACAGACAGACATTCTCAGTGGATTTCTGGTTCTTCCTCCTTTCAGTCAGGCAGGAAATACCATGAGAATGGAAAGAAGGATGCGTACCCATGATCACAAATAATCTTAATCTCCTTCTTTGTGCTACTTCTGTAAATAATTAGATATTGCTACGCTCTTGTTTCTGCAAGCTCCCGCAGCGAATGAGACGTGCTGTGTGCAGGCATACCTGCCTCAGATAGCACCAGTGAGCTGAAAACTGCACTGAGATATAATAGCACAATGCTGTGTGTGTGAGTGTCCCGGGAGGAGGGGAGGCTGCATGTTCCTGGGCCACATTAATAGTAGAGCTACCCTGCACATAGCAGAAGGGCATGAGTTTGAGTAAGTTTAAAAGCTTGCTTGAAAAGGGCACGCTGATCAGAATGGCTAGAGGGATAGTGCTTCTGTCAGCAAACAATCCTCAGTTCCACATAGCTGTATTGAGCACTGCTCCTGTGAGTGAGGTGCTGCGGGACGGGGCGCCGCGGTGCTAGCCGCCGATGTGCAGTGCTGCGCTATTGTTTGGCTGAAAGAGCTTGAGGCAGCAAAGAATCTATTATTGATGATAATTCAGAGTTCCTCACATTCTCACTACCTTAAGTCAGAGCTTGTTCTCCAGCTTCCATGTGAAGGGCCTGGAGCCAAGGCCGTGAGCTTGTGTATATGTGTTCAGGACAGTTAATATTTATGATGCATCTTACTGGGAAAATTAGTATAAAGCTATGTTCCAACAGTACATTTATCCCATGACCTAGTTTTATGAATAACGTGCTGAAACACGGCCTGCTTGATTTAAACTTTTGTCACCCATTCTGATGGATACAGTGCCTTATGCAACACAAGCTGGGATTTGTGCAAAAATGTGATGTGTATTAGTGCAAGGTAAACAGATGGTAATGCTTTCGTTAATACCAAGCACATACAAAGGTATTTATCAAAGGACCACATTTAACATCCATAGTTCTTGGCAGAGATCCCTAAGCTATTACATCAGCTAATAAGAATAACAATTTTATTGCATTACAGACAGTTTTTTTTTTGCAGAGTTGCTTTAGACTGCGCAGGCGGCTGCAATGCTTGCCACAGTTTGTAGTCTAGCATCTGATTCTGAATAGTGCTGAATGTCTATATATGCTGTTGGGGTTTGTTGTTATTTTTGTTTTACTGCTATGGCTCTCAGCATTTCTCCAGAGCAGCCCCCTCCTAGGGAATTCTAATGCTGGTTAGCACTTCTGAAGTTCGTGTAATAAGAAAGCCAGGCAGTGAAGATGCCGAAATGTTGGAGTGCAGGTGTAAGAGATGGATACTAGGAGACTTCAAAGAGCAGGAGAATGAACTGGAAAGGTTGGAAGTAAACTTTGATGCTACACCAGCTACAAAGATATGCAGGCAACATTGGAAAAGGCAGTTGTTTTTAGAGAAATGTGGCTAAACACAATTTCTGTCAAGGAACGTTGCACCTAAAGACTATAAGCTTGGATTAGGTTGGCAACGTCCCCATCTGATTTGTACTCTCTTCTTCCATCATCACCATTTGTAGGATTGCTTGTATCATTTAGTGGGAAACCTTGATCTGTGGACACCAGGAACTACATCCCCGGGGATGTAGCTAGTAACTCTGCAGAAGGAGAAAATAAAGTTTTCATTAGTACCACCAACCAGCAATAAGAATTTTTATTTTCATCTCATCAAAAAGTTGTTACTTCTCCACCTTGGTGTGGTTTGGAAAGCCAGTTTACAATGCTTGCTCATGACCGTGGAGCCTTCTAAAGAAATCCCTGACCCCATCTCCAAAGCCCTCTCACCTCACTACAGCTGTGGGAGTGTAATGCAGCTGTAGTCCAGTGAGCATCAGCCCAAGGCAGGGCAGCTGCTTCTGACAGAGCTGTCCCCTCCTGCTCCAGGGCCACCTCTGCTGGTCCCACCTGGTAGAAAGCTGTATTTTATGATGGCAGAGCACAGCTGGTTCACTGACTACATAGTGAACAAGGCTGGAGAACTGACTCGGCTAAAAATGGACAGATTTTCATTTCCAGCCTAATCAATCTCCTAATCTGCTTTACCTTGAGTCTGCACACTTTTTTGTGCCAGGATAAGGAAAGGTATGGACACAAGCAGGTGAGAAAGAGCAGAAAGGTGTATTTCAGTTGACAAGGCTGAGCCACACAGCCCTGAAATGCTCCTTGATACTATAGTGTGACCTGATCAATAGCAAAAATAATCTGAAAAACAGAAAGGAGTCTGCTTAACCTGGGTCATCTTAGCACTCCTGTTTACAGCAGGATATGCAGTGAGGACACAGAGGTACTGATGTAACCAAGAGCTATGAAGTGTCATGGGTGTGGGATCTCTTTTGCAGTGAAGACTTGGATTATTTTCACTGAGCATTGTGGTTGTGACTGCAGGGAGGACTGCAGTTTCTAAAGCTGTGTGCTTTTGAAAACATGTCAGTGAGCTAAGGCAGTATAGATAGTGTGCAGCTATTCCTGCAGCATTCCATGACCTGAAATTCTCCACTGAGAAACTGTACATGAGAGTCCTGATGGGGAACACCCAGTTCTGCTGACAGGTCCCATTGACTTCAGTTCTTAAGGTTAAGGACATAATATAACTTTTCCTAGCTAGCACAAAATTAGTTGAAAAAGGAGAGAAGAGTATGTGAGTTGGAAAATTTCTATCAATAAATTATTTTTTTACGGGATTCTCAGCACTGGACCAGATTTGGAGCAGCTTAAAGTTGTTTGGCAATACATCAGTATATGCCACACAGCATTTAGGTCATTAGGATCCTTATAGGTTAAAACACTGGCAGAAGATAAGCAAGGTTATGACAGTGTGGCCTGTGTTTCTGCAGCGCTACCTCTGTCACTGGGATACCTTCAGGCCAGACTGGCAACTACTGCTTCCTTGAAGAGTAGCTTATGCACAGCTGTAGTTGTGTTGATTTTACAGATCTGATAATGAATTTGCTTAGAAAGGTCAGATCTGGACGTTATTTGTTTATTATTATTTATATATTGGCTTCCTGTCATTTATAAAGATAATGTTGGTTACGCTTCCAAAGACTAGTTTATATCATTACTTTAATTCCGTATGTAATTAAATAAGAAGCTGAGCTCAAGACACTGCTTATGCACATGCTTCATTTGAAGACCTTAGTGTCTTTGATTTTGGAAGTGATGTGACTCAGAAGCAGCAAGTGTTAAATAACTTCTGCTACTTTCAACTCCATCGCAGCCATCCTTATATCCCGCCCACAATCACTGGGATAGCTCCCAGAAAGTAAATGTAAGAAGGAGAAAAAGAGCAGCAGAGCACTTTTACTGCTGAAGCCACTGAATACATAGCTTCAGTGAAGCTATTAAACCAGTCTTCTTCTTGGTCTGAGGTTTCTTTTAAACATTTTCTCTATTGTAAACATTCCACTCATTTTTTTTTGCTGTATTGTGGCAAATGTCAGAATTCAAAGGACTGTCATCAGCTGACATAATGACCACTGCCCCTTTCCAGAAACAAACCATGCCACAGTATCTTTCCTAACTCTTTAGCTATACTGCATTCATGTTGGCAAATGTCCATCCCTAGAGCTTCAATAGCTCAGTATTCTTCCTTCTGATGAATTTTATCCCTCAAAATATTTTCTGTTTGAAGACAGCTTGAAGAGATTTGTCTTGGGTTTCTTGTAGATGGGAACAAAAGTGAGTGTGCAGTGGGTAAATAGCAAATTTCAGCTTTAGTTGTGGCCATTCCTTCAGTGCAGTGATCATTTTGGGTCCAATGAGAGCTCAGAGGCTGAATTCCAAATTGGTAGCAACTCATACCTGTGGTGCTGTCATAGCTTCTGTCTGCTGAGGTTCCGCTCCAGGCATTTTTGATTTCTAACATTTCTGTTATTATTTTATAAGTATTTCAACTACTTGCCAATAGGTGTGTCAATTACCTTGTCTAATCTGTCTTTTTGCTGATTCTCATTTCCCTAGGCACCTCAATAAATTACCAGAACTAGGAAAGGGTCCAGACCAGTAATAGTCTCCAATCATGATGCTAGGAAAGTTTGGATTTAAGATCAGAAATGAAAGTTTCTGCTAAAATTGCATACAAATGGGAACTTTGGATCCCTTTTGTTATTATTTTTTCCCTCTGAAGACTATGAATAGATTCTCTGAAGCCTAAGCTGCACTCTACAGTAATTTGCTTTCTAACCATTGTAACCGGTTCTTTCTTGAGTACCCTATGATACTTCCTTGAATATCTTATGCAGTTGGGTAGACCTTGAGGGACCTAGAAGAAATGTGAGGAGTCAGGTGTGAGATAAGACTTACTGAAATTGCTGTCAGATCTGGATACTTTTGAAGCTGTTCCATCTCTGTGCTCAAGTCTGCAGTCTTTTGCATGATTTTCAAAACAAAAAGCAAAATTCTTCTTTGCCAACCTCAGTCTGCTTAAATGGTTTTGACTACTTCATGTAGGTGCCCAGCTGAACATTATATAATTTCAGGTACCAATTAAGTTGAGATAGTACCGTATCAGTTTGGCTGCACTGAAGCAAGCAGAAACTTACACCAGTGGAAAAAGATTCTCAGTCTCTGTCATGCTGTGCCTCTTGTTGTGCCTTCCTTTAAAAAGCTGGCATTTTGGAAATGCCTAAATTTAGAAACAAGGATTTAGTTGCAAACCAGTGAGCTCTAGGCTTCTATTCACAAAGGCACTTTAAAAAGCATATCTATGTCCTGTGTGATGAAAGTAATCAGAATTGGAAACTGCATGGTCCATTACAGCCTCTGATGAACTTATCTGTGTGATCACTGTGTAAGGAAAACGTTATGGAACTTGCTTCCATATCTTGGGGCAGAGTTGTTACACTGTCCTGTAGCTTAGCTGAGTGCTACAACAGTAAATTAAAACAAATCTATCTAAAAATTGCTTAGAAGACACAAAATAACAGCACTTTCAGGATTGCATACAGTATCTGATAGATTGTAGACCTGATACCACACCCAGGATGCCCAAGATTTTGGGTTTTTTGTTGTTGGTGGGTTTTTGTTTTTTGGGTTTTTTTGGGGGTGTTTTTGTTTTGTTTTGTTTTGTTTTGTTTTTCAATTAGAGGAAGGAACAGCCTTTCATTATTACTTTAATTCATTTGTACATCAGTAGATAAAACTCCACTTGTGAAGATAAACTAATATTTTTGATGCAGTTGATAACTATTACAACTTGATACTGTGGCATGCATTTTTATTTGAATTTGGTTCCTTCAGGTTACCATGTGCTAGCAGTATTAGTGGATCTGAGGCATAGGATGCTCTTTCTTTCTCCCATTCATTTTATAAACCTTTCTTTTGTTACAAATTAGTCCAATGGCCTTGGGACAAGGCAAGGGCAAGGAGGGGATTTTATTTTGCCCAGGGCATAATGTCAAGACTTATGGGCTCTTCTGCTTGAATGAAGAAGTGAAAATGGATTGTATTGGTGGTGTTGCTCCCTTCACAGTCAGCTTCAGTCAGCATCATAGAGCACAGAGCTCCTCCACTATGAAAACAAATCTGTTTTACAGATGGGTGCCCATTTACCTTCTGAGGCAGACAGTGCAATGAACTGCACTTGAGGTGCAAGGTGTTTATTTCCCCCAAGTGGATGCTTAGTGTCTCACTGCACACGGCTCTCACACAAGGAAAAGCCACTGTAGTCAGAGGTCCAAAATTAATTTCTTCTTAAAAGCCTGAACAAGTAAAGAAGAGATTAAAAAATATGTGGGTCAGAGTAACCCTCTCAAAATGAAGTGAACTGATACTGAGTGCTGAGAATGAACTTTCTTATCCCATTTCAAAGAAAGAAAAAAAAAAAGGAAAAAAAAAAGGAGAAAGAAAGAAAGTTCTCTCTGGGCTCAGGGCTCTGGTTTTAAGTCTGTTTGCAGTGGACTCCAGGGCCATATTTTGGACTTGAGGTCCAAAGCCATCTATTTTGAACAATTGTCGCAATTATGCTATGTCAGAAGGAAAGCCTTGGTTAGATTCCAGCACAAAATGAAAGGAATGATGAAAGCCAACCGAGCCAGGTAAAATCTAATTGGGAAATTAAAGTGAAGACGAGAAGAGTGGCAGAAATAAAAGAAAAATAAATTCAGAATATTTTCGGAAACATATAGGAGCCTTTAGGCATAAGGACACAGTAGGATGCCTCACTGAACTGTCCACTCCATGATGTGAGGTAGAACCATTCGGGAGCAACAAGCTCTAAATAGAGAAACTTAGGAAGAGTGAAAATTGCATTTGTCACACAGGGACCTAGTACAATTTCTGCCCTTTGCTGGTGGTTAAATGCCTGTTTAGAATAACCTAAAACTAAAAAGTTACTTTTAATAGAATGTTGGTGCCAGGATAATGCCAATAAAATCTAAATATATGTGCTTTATGAGTACAGCTGTGCAAATACATTTTCTGCGAGAATCAAAATTAGGGAAAGTGAGAGGGAGGGAGGCAAAACCAGCTTTAAAGCAAGAAATGTGGTGAAATGTATTTCAGAAAGAGTGAAATAGCTCCTTCTGAAGATTTAATTTACATTTTTAAAACATAAGGTTAAGTGAACTTCTGAGGTGTTTTGTATTGAAAAACGGAGACAAATGATTAAAATTTTCAAATAAAACCAGTGTTTGAAAGAATCTTCAACCCAAAAACTTCGTTGTTTTGGACGTGAAGATTTAGATATGATTAAAAATTGTTTGAGCAAAAACAAATCACATATTTCTATACAGATGCTTTTCTCATAACGGCACTTAACTGATAAAACAACATTCTGAAATGTAGGTGTCAGAATGCTGAGGTTGGTGTTTAGGTATACATGTATATATACAGCTATATATATAATTTATATACACACATTAGTATATTTTATATTTGGCCTGGTCTTCATGTAGTTTATACCCTGATGTAATCATCTGGATCCCAGCAGAACCCTTTTCATCTTTAATTAATGATACTGATATTAATGTAATTGCTATTAAATTACAGTCTTACAGGAATACCTTTTATTTATTCAACTTCTTTATGAGATAAGCCAACTGTATTGGTACAGCTAAGGGTGCACCTCAGGTGATTAGACAGCCCTAAATGCTGCAGTCACATTCAGCTCGATGTAGCCTGTTGTGGACATGGGTTACCACCTTCTCAGCTGCTACCTTTACCAAGAATATGTGCTAGTGATTAGGAGCAGTTCCCCAACATTCTTACTGAGTTGTCCACACTCAACTTCTTTCTCAACATCAACAGGCACCTACAGTACCCATACTCTGCACACATCTCAAGAATAAATACAATAATCCTATACTGGAATCCAGTGACACCTCACAAAATAACCAAGGTGGACAATGCCTCCCGGATTATCTCTGTCAGATAGTGGGGAGCATGGTGGGCATATACTACACTTCAGCAGAAACCAAAGGTAATTTTTACTATATAAAAAAAATAGTTTTTAATTAGGAAGTTATTTTTTAATGGAAGAATGCGTCAGTTTGCCGTAATAAAGAGTCTTTTGAGCTTTGGCTGATGCTAGGGGCGCAGGCCTCTGAGGAATGTCAGGGATGGGGCAGCAGCGTGCTGCTGGCTCTTGGTCAGCGCTAAATCCATGGTGTGCTGTGACAGCTGACTTCCTACCTCCTGGAACCTCTCTCTGTCAGATCAGATCCACAGTTCAGGGCTGAATCACAGAACGCACGCTAGTTTTTTTTCCCCGAGGCTTTAAAGTCACAGCCAAATCATGTTGATAACTTGATCTTGGGAGTTCTGTGTTCTCCTTCCCCAAACTCTCCTTACAGTGTCTGAAGTGGTGGTGTTTACTCAGCTTCTGTCCACTCTGTTCTGTCCTGTTTACCAGCTTCTTCCCTTTCTGCCCAAGGCGATTTGCTCTAACTAGAAGATGAAATTATTTGGTCTGAAATGTTCTGTGCACACTGAAAAACGCTTTTATTTAAATAGCAGCTATACGAAGCTGCCTTTTGTAATTAAACTGGTTTACACATGTGGAACACGCTGGGTGCATTACGGTGAAATGATCATTTTAAATTTAAAACATGCTTTCCCTCATTACAGAAACATATTCTGCCTGGTTCCTTCCTCCCCCCTGCTCGTTTAAACAGAGATGCCATTCCTTTCTCCATCTGAGTTAAATACCAGAGTATCCTTTTCGGCAAGCTTCTAAGCTAAATCTAATCAAGCTGTGTCACAGCTCTGTCAGGCAGGTTGCTCTTTCTTTGGCCTTGAATAATTGGAAGAATGTTGGCACTTGTGCCTGGGCCATGAGAACGTGACCCGGGTTGATATTTAATCTACTGCAGTGCTAGGCTGCACTAGGGCTGGGGCCTAAGCCAGGCCTCGGGAGCAGTGTGTTAGACATCAGCAGCACTCATTTTACCTTGAAATGGATTCCATTTGATGTATCATTACACCGCTCCAGGAGAATGCTTTAATGAGACAGATACATGCGCTGGAAAGGATTAAATTGTTGTCCTTTCAACTTTTTTGCTTGGCTTGCCTAATAGCTACAAGGTGCTGGGAAGTACCTTGGAGAGGCAAAAGGTTACAGGGCTGCCCAAAAATAGCTAAAACTGGAGGTCTGTCATCTCTGGATCCTTGAGCACGTTGCAAGAATTGCAAATACCCGGCCTGCTGTTCTATTGTGTAAAATAGGAGCAAGCCCTGAAATCACTGCTTTGCTGTCACCTCTTCTCATGGAAGGTTTGTCCTAGAATGGAATCTCAGAATCGCCCCGTGTTCTTGGTTCTTAGAATCAGCCCTCTGTGCACGAGTAAAACATTCATCCTCCTCTGGGATGTGGGAGCGGGAAGTTTTCATTCCCCTTCTCACAGTCCTATGTAAGCTCCAGGAGCCCTCAGGAAAAAGGAAATTCCTTTCAGATCTATGGGTTGTTCCTGCTGAGCAATCTTAACTCACCATGTATTTCAATGGCTGCGTTAACGCTTTCATGCAGATTTGGGTGAGAGCTTGTGGCACGGGTGGTGGCAGAGAAAAAGCTGTTCGGGGGGAGGAAATAACGATTAGAACCTTTTGCAGATGGAAGTGTAAATTGCTACTTTTTTGACTCCCCAGAATGTCTTCTGACCTGAATGTCTGCTGAGGTGTTTGAAAATGCCCTACGCTCAGGTCACACACATGAGGAACAGTTTAAACTTTGCTCAGCAGGGGAACGCACTCCCAATTTGCAAGGAGCCCCCGGCAACATTTAATCTGCATAAACATAAGGTGATTTCAATGACCCTTAATCTCTGATAATGAGACGTACCCGCGTGGACACAACAAACTGCAGCCCGGCAATCGGTGATTTCCACATGAAATCTCAGTTCAAGTACTTCGTGTTTTGTCATCCGCGTCTTTGTGCTGATTTCGTCCTGTGCTGCAGGAACGCTTAGGCCAGAAGGCAGCACCTTACCATCCCACAGTGTGGATTGGGGATGGAAACCGTGGGGGAGAGGAACTTTGTTACGGTGTGAAGTTGTAAGGCACTAATCAGGTGTGTTACTGATTAACTCAGCCGCCTCTGGAATGTCAACGGCTTCTTTTCTTCCATGCTGCAGTGTTAAGGAACAGAGCGTTTGTCCCTTTCACGTATACTCCCCCAAACTAATTTCCACTTGCATTGTTAAGCAGCACCAGCACCTGCTTTTAAGTCATTCTAACCCCTGCGACTCTGGGTTCTCCTTCCATTTGCAGTGTGTGAATTCTGATAAAAGTACTGTTTCCAAACACAATTTTAAGTGAAATCTTTTCCCTCTAACTGTGAGAAATCAACCTGTGGCTTTGAGAACAATCTCCTCCAACCTTTCACATCAGTCTAAGAATAATGCAGCTCTTTGAAGACAGCTAATAAAACAGCCTTCTAAATTTTTGTTTGTGTTTAGCAAAAGGGCCTGGATGCATTGTCAAAGGTAATGCCAAGAGTCTTTTTATACATCCTTTTGTGTACTAAAGGATTGGATAAAAACGAAAAGCTGCCTGTAGGGCAGGCAGGAGTACTCAGTCGGCCATTATCCAGTTTCTTCTCTTCATTTATTTTGACTATGAACTGTTATATGACTAGAAAGGCCATTCCTCACTGGGAATGTTTTCCCACAAGCAGGACAACAATGTCAGACTGACCTACAGGAGGTTGTGCTCTCTTACATTTCCTTTGAGTTCCTTTTCCTTGAATATTACTCGTTGCAATTGAAATGAGGCCATTGGAGATGATGCCTAGTTACTATCAGTTACAGCACTGCTGTCAGTGGATGTTCTGGTTTGGCTGCACCTCAGGTTCACACAGCCCTGTACCTCACCCACATTTATTGAGCTTATTTGCAGCATAGGTTGTTTCCTGGAATACTCTGATACACAAATCCTTGGGTATGGTGACTGACCCACATCTACCATGCATTTGCCATTATTGCCTACATGCCTGGCATACTTTGATTCTTCTTTTCCCTAAATCTCAGATAGAAAGAAAGAAAGAAAGAAAGAAAGAAAGAAAGAAAGAAAGAAAGAAAGAGAGAGAGAGAGAGAGAGAGAGAGGGGAGAGAGAGAGAGAGAGAGAAAGAAAGAAAGAAAGAAAGAAAGAAAGAAAGAAAGAAAGAAAGAAAGAAAGAAAGAAAGAAAGAAAGAAAGAAAGAAAGAAAGAAAGAAAGAAAGAAAGAAAGAAAGAAAGAAAGAAAGAAAGAAAGAAAGAAAGAAAGAAATCTGCAAAATTCATATTTTTCATTGCAACCCAATGTTTTGGGCTGACCTTTCAAGGACATAAACAAACCACAAATGAGACTATTTACAAGAGAGGACATTCCTGAAGCCACTTACCATCACAGAAGCAAACAAACAAACATTGCCCCAAATGCTAGGCAAAGAATCAGCACCTTCCTGACCTCTGCCAGATTGTCAGGATGGATTTCTAATGGATTTAAGTGAGAATAACAGAAAGATATAAGACAGCTTAGGACCAGAGGCTGCTGTCTCATTTTATTTTTTTCTTATATCCAGTGCAGAATCTTAGGCAAGATACCTTTGTGACCAAATAAAAATTGTGTGTATATATATATGTATATATATATATAAATTGTATATATATATACACACACACACATACATATATATATATATATTTCATGAAGTGTTTACAAATAGAAGTCCTGTTCTGTTGGTCACTAGGATGATACATTGCATAGTAATTTTGTATCTGCTGTGTTACGTGGATGAGGAGGTAACTTATTAGAATGTGAGGACACAATTTATCTGTTAGGTACTTTGTGTTACTTTTGTAGCACAAAATGACCTTTAGGGCAGTTGAGCTGTTCGGCGGCTGGAAGAATAATTGCCACCTTCAGAATGTAAGAAATGTTTGGTAGATTCTTTTTATTATCCCTTCATAGAAGTCTCTATCAGGGAAAACTGAGGAGACATACAAAATGAAGTGGAAAAAAAGAATACTAAGGGAAGCTTGGAGAATTGCTAAGCTGGGACTGCAAAGGAAGGAAAGGTTGGGACCTGAGTGGTTACCTCCAGCTTTTGGTATTAGATGTTAAATGCAACAGAATGCAATGGTCAGGGAAAACAGAAAGGTCCCTTTTGGTTTCCACATTACTGTCTTTTGAACTGCATTTGATTTTGCAGTTTCATTTGCAAAGTAAGTAGAAATGAACTAAAGAACTCCAGAAGCAATATGAGGAAAAAATGTGCTTGGAAACTGGCTCTGTAACAGTTGCTCGGCGTGGAAATGCAGATGAGTGGGCTAAATACAGAAGAATGTGAGATTAATTTGCATTTCCTGCAGTGCTAGCACCTGTTGTCTGAGTTGATTACTGTATATTTTGCTGACATTGATTCATAATGCTTTATTTTATTTCAATACAGTAGAAGTGCTTTTACTGTACAGTTCAGAGTTGTTTGTTACAGTTTTGTTTTTCTGCTAGAAATGCAAATACTTGGCTGGTGTTGAATTTTTCAGACTAGAGCTTGAGCCCAGGGTTACAAACAGAGCCCATCAGAGATTCGCTGAATTAAAAGCCACTGGATTTAAAAGGCAATTAAAATAGCTCCAACCATTTTTCCTCATTGTGATTACTAGGCATGAATCTCAATACCAAGTTTGCAAAATTGTTCATTAGTACCTGGTAATGTTAATAGACAAGGTGTTTCCATCCCTCTACTTTCTCACTAGCTAGCTCAACAGTGATGGAAAGTTTTGCCTTTGAAGCTTAACTTAGACCTCCCTCCCTCTTTTTTGTTACTATCTTCTTTGCTCTTTCTCACTGCAGAGCAGTTATAAATATTTAGTGTGGTTGGGTAACCAACTGGTTTCTTAATGTGAAAATACTCTTTTTAGTTGCAAATGCTCCTTTTATCATGTACAACATTGTTGTCTTTTTTATTGTTATGGAGTCGGTGCAATTAAAGAAGCAAAAGGCTACAGAAGGCATCTAGGCGTATTCATGCCAGTGCAGGATTGTTCTATGCAGAAAGCTTGATTTGATTGCTCTTCCCAAATTCTTCCCAGTTATATATGTGGATATTAACCAAATTCTTTCAAATTGCTTCTGTTTTGAAAAACCCTTTCTGATTTTTCATTGTTATCAATTCCTTTGTAATGGTCATCTGGTCCTAACATATGAACAATATCTGCAGTTGCAGCTGTTTTTAGCATGACTGTTTAGCTTTGTACAGCAAATGTGTCCTGAAGGAGATGTAAAGCCAAAGAGAGAAAATGCTGCTATGAACAGCTAAAGTGTAATTCTGCAACGTACTGAATGACCTCAGATTTCCATAATGATAGACCTGAGCAAGGCTTTACCAATAATTAAAAAGGTGAAGAAACTGCTTACTGTTCAAGTGACTGGGTATGACTACATGTCCATGTGGATCACACACATGTCCATGTGGATCATACTACCTAACAAAAACCATTCTTGTCCCATTATATTCCTCAAACTGTTGTGGAGGGTTGTATGGAAGGATATTAGTTGGCCTAGGATGAAACCATACTGGGGAACATGCTGAGGGTTTAACACAAGGGACGGCTGTGGAAGCCCTGAACTCCACTTGTAAGCAATAGGAAGACTGGCCTGTGGATTGTATCCTGAAAAGCTGTTGTATGTTAATGATGGACTGTGATGAGAGCACTCATTAAATTAAATGATGAACAGTATTACTATATTACCAGGTCAAGATGTCAGCTTTTGGTTGTTCTCCTCTGCTGATATGAGAAATATTTGATGAAGGTGATTTCTTCTGAGGAATTTCTCTCTTTGGAAATGCCGTTTTCATGTCGATAGCACAGATGGCCAAGATAAGGAGGTACTTGTGTCTGTGGAAGGACAAACTGATCTGTACTAAAACAAGGCAATCTTATGGGAATGTCTATTTATCATCATCCTTTTCCTGCCAGTGGGAGTATTGAAGCAGGATGCCAGAGAGGTTAGTTACTGAATTTTACTCTGTAGAACGCAGAAGCTCAGAAGGGACACTAGGAATGTCAGCTCTCAGCAGCCGGAAGGGAGCCAGAGTTATGAGACAGAATACAAAGGCAATGGGACTGCCTGGGAGAACTGGGTTAGCAGGATGCCGGACAACCAAAGCCTCAGCAGCCCTGGGAAATCTGTGACTTAGGACACGCAGGGGGCCCGTGACCATTGATCTCTGCATAGGGAAGATCAGGGTTCGGTTTCTTCCTCTGCCTCGGGGGACATGGGGCTCATGTCCCACTTCCCAAGAGGGCTCTCTGGCCAATGAGCAATATGCTGTTTTGGGTGAGGATGCTTTCTGTCCATCCCGTCCAAGCTGTGCCAGTAAGCAGAAAAGAATTCATGGAACCAGAAGAAGAATACAAGTGTATTGGGGTATGCTGCTGGAGTATGGGAGAAACATGCTCAAGTTAGGGTAGGGTGATGAGAATACTTGTCAGCTTTGCTGTTTTATGTGAAATAAAATCCTTCGTGTCCTATGTGGAGCCATTCTCCTCCCTGCAGTTGTCTGAAGTTCTCTTAGTTTGGCAAGGACAAGGTGTGATGATTAATCACTTCTCATCTCCAAAGATGTTACTACCAGGAGCTTTCATTCTCTAATGAAGTGGAAATCTTCAAAGATTCATTTAAGGAAAGCATTTAAGCATACCAAAAAATGAGGGAGTTAACTGCGTGGATGTGGTACTTCTATCAGCAGTTCATTAGCAATTGGTATTATAATTGTATCTATGCTTTTCTGCAATAATTTTAGAATGTAAAAGTTTAATTTGTACCTTAAATCAATCAATGATAAGAAATCTAGGGTTTGTTTGTTTGTGCTTTTTTTTTCTATAAGGCAATAATATCTGAGCTAATCTGAGGATTGGTTTATGATTAGCTTCTCCAGATAGAAACGGCAAATGAGGTTAAACATGATTTCAAAACTATTCTTTTCCCAAAAGAAAGGGTATGTACCATAGGACTTAAATTTAACAGCTTCATCTGGCAAATCTCTC